GGCCCCCTATGGAGGAAACCGATCGAGCGGGGGGGACCGGGACTCTCACTCAAGTGAGATCATTGAGTCTCGACCTCAGTGTAGAGATGGTCATGTTCCCACAGAAGGAACATGAGTCATCCACGAACGCTGCTGCTGCATGCTGAAATGCCCAGGCATACAAAGCAGCGATCGTGACCATCAGATGACGACAGAAATCAACCACACCCAGAAGAACACGGGCGAACCGTCTTTAAAAAGACGTGCGCGTGCAGCTCTTTCAATGAGAGGAGGAAATTCACTCTTTCAGCGCTGAAGCGACCAGGGAGAAGCGCAAAGTCTGGCAGACCACTGCTCAGATCGCAGGCGATGCAGAATCTCGCTGGGTACCGCCGTCACACCAACACTGAAGAGGACGCTCGTCTCGAAGAGTCTTGAACAGTGCTTTCAGGAGTGAAGAGGTTCTCTTGGCTCCGAAGCGAAAAACATACTGCGGTTGCGTTCACTTCCTCCTTTTATACTCACGGAGTAGGGCGGAGTACGCTATGCAAATTTCCGCAGCCCCAAGGCATTGCATGCCATTGGCTCGTGTTTAAATACTCGAAGAGGATTGGCTTTCTATGCGAAATCCCCCAATCTCCGTCACTTCTGACGTAACTCGAAGTGACTACGAAAGGGAACCTAGACCTTACAGAGATCAGCTGTAGATGATCTAAACCTAAAGAGCCTACACTCAGATACTGAGGGACTCAGGACAAAAAGCTTCTAGCAGATCATCTCCAACAGTACACATGCCTAAGGCAGCCCTTGTGGAGATGGCACTTGAATAACCTATGTCTGAAGTTCAACGCTACTTCACTGAAGTTCTATAGTCTCATAACAACCCTCTGAAGTGAGAGGAGACCTGCTACACAAACACAAGGTGGTCATCCAGGTGGACCGATGGAGGGCCGACGCTTGGCTGGTCTAGCTTATCCAAAGCAGTGGCCTCAGGAGACGAAGCCATCCCACGCTGAACAAAACCTGTTTGAAGCTAACGTGCATGGTGCCCTCACTAGAGATTCCTCTATGAGTTCCTCTTCCTCAAAGAAGCTAACCTGTACATTTCACTGCACTGTAATGAATTGCTGTAAAAATTACAGCAATATTTTACAGCCGCTGGCTGTTTTCTAATAATACAGCATTTTGCTGTAAACTGCAATGCATTCTGGGGCCGCGTGGCGGTTTGATTCAAAATACAGAATATTGCTGTAAATTTCAAATCGACACAGAGGCATTGTGATCTTCAACGGTCGTGTCGTCGACTTTCGGATAGCGGCAAGAGGAGTGATTCTCAACTGGTAAGTGACTTATTTCAGTTTCTTATGTTTCATGTTGTGTTACTCGTAGACTATGAAGGTAATGTTATATTCGCGGTTCATATTGGTTACCGAGGATCACGCATCCTCCGTACGGGGCGCGAGGGAGACTTGCGCGGGGCTTCAGCAGCCCAGACGCGGGTAGTATTTCACACATTCCCCGGGATCTATGGGCTCCTATGTTAAGAAGAATTACATGCTTTTCTGATAACAGTCGGTATTCACACGAGCTTCGTGTTGATCAGCACACTTCGCCGTGATTATTTTATGGTGTAAATCAAATCAAGTAATCTGTTAAAATGGGCGCCGAAAAAAAAAAAAAAAACAGATTATGAATGTTGCTGTGTCGTAACGTTATGTTTAATATTCCGGTGTGAAAATCCCTTATATTTCAGTACGAATATAAGCTATATATCCTATATATTTTAGCTATAACGTTAGCCTAAGTTACTCTCTGTGTGTAATTTGCTTATTTGTTTTCATACTTCCTTTGTTAATTTTATTTAAAAGAAAGAGTTCCTGCTCTCTGAATACTAAAATATAGTTCACATTTAAAATGCTGAAACATAAAAATGGTATAGTAAAAAATAAACTATTGTCACATGTGGTATTGTTTTAGGAGACACTTTGACAAGAGGACACTGGAAGGCCAAGTTGTGTGTGAGGAGAGCAACTAGCCCAGCTTCCTGTCTGGCCTTGCTACTGTTCACTGCATATAATTACATATTCAGTCAGGAGAAGCCAGCCTGCACCTTGGAGTTCATTTAAAGGTAATTATTGCATTCTTAACAACCTCAGTACATTTTACACATGTACTCAATATCTGCCTTTTGATGTATTATCTATTGACTTAAAGGGATAGTTCACTTTGAAATTAATTTTTGATATGTTTTAGTTCACCTCAAGGGCATCCAAGATCTAGGTGTCTTTGTTTTCCACAGTATTTTCAATTTTGACATTTTTAGGTCGAACCATTCTTGTCTTCAGTCATATAATGGAGGTCTATGGTCACCACCTCAAAGAGCATGCACAGAGAAGTCCAAATTAAACATGATTTAATGACTCGTAAATGTAAGTACACATTATGGCCTAAGACAAACGGAAGTGATCTCTCGCGGTATACGTCACTCGTCTCGTACGTCATTCGTTTTCTCACACAAACCGCTCGTTTCGTGTCTTAGGCCATCAATGTGTACTTACATTTACGAGTCATTAAATCATGTTTAATTTGGACTTCTCTGTGCATGCTCTTTGAGGTGGTGACCATAGACCTGCATTATATGACTGAAGACAAGAATGGTTCGACTTAAAAATATCAAAATTGAAAATACTGTGGAAACAAAGACTCCTACATCTTGGATGCCCTTGAGGTAAGCTAAAACATATCAAAAATTAATTTCAAAGTGAACTATCCCTTTAATTAGTTAAATCAGGTGTTTTAATTTGTGGACATAGGGGTTGGGAGGTCTTCCTGGGAGGTTCTCATGACTGGAGTTGAGAAACACTGCTCTAACAGATTTCAAAATCATGATTACAAGCATGAAAAACTTAAAACCAATCCTAATTACATATTGTCTGTTTCCTGACCCTTTATGTGCTTTGTAAGAGAGGAACAAAGAAGAAAATTGCCATCTAAAAGGACAGGGCAAATGGTACAGAAGAAACAGGTTGCAGTGAACCCACATGTTGCCACTCTTCCCTGCAAAGTGGTGTGTTCAGTGGAATTTCTGAAATGTAAGTACACACACAAACACACACACAAATATCTATTTTTCCTTTAATTGTAACCTTTTAATATTCTTTATCTGACTCTAACTGTATCTGTCATCCCTCTGTCTGTCTCTGACTGTATCATTATGTTTTGTAATATATCTAATGTAATGTCCTTTTCAATATTTCTAGCCACTCTTTGCGTCCTGTGATGGAACAGCATCCGGAGCTGAATTATTCTCCATTTTTGATCATACGTTTTTTGGACTCACTTGGGGCCTTGTTGTTTGGACATGTTTGTCTGGGAACGAAGAGGTGACAATTCATTCATGTCTGTTTTTTTTTTTTTTTTTTTTTTCAGAACCATTTTATTATGATCATGTTGGTCAACTTGTCGTTTTAAATGTCATTTGCGTATTTCTTCTTTGTGTGAAGGGCCCTGATGGCTTATTTGTTTTAAGTAATTAAAAAAAAAATCATTTCATGTCCATTTGTAAATAAAAATAAAATACAACAAAATACAAAATACACTGTTTTATGCTTTTTTTCATGCATATTTTAAAGTTATAAATTAAATAAATGTTGACCTGTTTTTATAGGATGTTGAATAGTTTGTTTGTTTTGTGAAGTAATAGGGGAATTAAGTTACGTGTTATACAACACTTAATGAATTTAAAAAAAAATTGTTTAAAGCTTATGCAGATGATAAATAATTAACATTTAAAATTCAGCTGGCATTTTACATATTTCCCAGATATAGCGAATACAAAGATTCATGGAACTACTGTAAAAAATACAGTTATTTACTGTAATCAGAGAATACAGTAAAAATCTGTAAATTAATTTACAGAACTACTGTAAAAAATACAGTAACTGGCTGGCAACCCTGCTGCCAGTATTTTACTGTAAAATTTACAGGAACATTTTTTACAGTGTGGGTGACCAAGATTGGCTCCAGATTTGTGGCCATCATCGACCTACCAATCGAGGCAGCGGTTTGTCTGGTGGCCCGGAGAGCCAGATCTGTCCACTGCGTGAGGGGAGAGACCCTGCCGTCCAAATCCTTCAGCAGGTCGGCTTGGTGTGCCTGTAACACAGACATCGCCCCAGCCTGACCCGCCGCCGCATATGCAGACAGCAGAAGGCTCACGGGAGCTAGGGAGTTATGGCCAGAAAGAAAACGCTCATCCAGCCTGCCACAAACAGCTCCTTCCCTCGTGCCCCCTCCCAAATCTGCTTCAGAATCCCAGCGCTGTCGTCATCGTGTAAAGTCCGCCCCAACGCTTCTGATTGGTGCCGCGATTTCAACGGATTGGAAATGGGCTTGAATGAGCTCTTTGCCAGACTAACTTTAAGAGCAAATCTAAATTTGCCGGAAGTTGTCTGGGTTTGCCCAGGCTATCTCAAGAGCTGATCATGCGTGCTCTTCGCCCAAACAATAAACGCACAAGTTGTGTGTCATCAGGTGTCAGAAACCTAAGACACGGATCCACACACTTCCTGAAATGCTTGTCACTTGCCATAAATGTTCTTACCTTTTTCAGGTGATTGAAAATCAGACAAGAAAAGACAGTCCCTGAAGACGGAGAGGATTACATGTTCTCTAGGCGGCCCTTTTATACTTCTGGGTCGCACTAGTAGTCTCTCGCTGATCAAATTCGATTGTCGTGATTGATTTCAGACAACAGTTCACATGGAGGGGGTTCGTCATCGACGCAGTGCGAGTTCCCTTGAGTTGAATTAAACATAAACACATCTTTTGTGTCTTAATCATCTTTTCTGCATATATATATATATATATATATACACACACACATATATATATATGTAGGCGACTGGCTCCGATAATCATTGCATATACTGTAATCAGAGTTTGGAAACCTCTGGGGTTTTTAATGCTTTAACATCATCACAACTCACCTAGTACATTAACTAAACAACAACAACAAAGAGGATAGGTCCCTTTCTCAGGATAGTTTATTTCAAAGACAATTGAGTAAATTACAATAAGCTTTACAGATCTTTATTGGAAAGGTTCGTCATGCTTCAGTAATTGCACATTCACCTGTGGGACAATCCTTAAGACAGGAACAATTTACAGGCACTACACAAAGGAAAATAATAATTCATTCATCTAAATTAAATGTTTAATAGACATTTTTAACTAAACACCTTTAAATCGACTACAGCAACACTGTCAGAACCTCTAGTGATTTTAGTTGTCCGTTCAGAATCGTACAGCTCTACCAGACTTCAGTTTTTATCTCTCTCTTTATTATTATTATATTTATGGGGAAGAGTCACTTATCCAAATAATCACAGTAGTATCTATATGATAAAAAGCAGTCAACGTTTACATATTTCTGAATGGCTGTCCCAAGTATCAGTATTACATGTATCAGTTCCTCATTTATCCCATCTGCACTGTCCATGCTCGTAGTTATGCAATATTACTAATTTAGTGTTTTAGCACAAAAAACTAACTGAATAAAATTAAAATTAACTAATTAAAATGACCATTCATTCATACACATTCATTGTGTTATTGAGAAATATGTATCATTGCATGTTATTTCAAAGAAACGAAGTGTCTGCCTCTGCTAATAAAAGAGAAGTTCAGGACCTGCACACACTTCTGACCTGTTCTGCTGTACTTCATCATGAGCACACCATAAGTTAACTTATAGTATGTGTACTACTTACGGTGTACTTAGCAAGAAAGCACTGAATAATATAAGCTAACTACATGGGTTAAGATTGGGTTTAGCGATTGTCTCAGGGTTAGTGTACCTAGTTTTTACCCAATAATTGTAATTACTACATACATATATAGGTATAAGTATAATAAGTTACACCTTTTTTAAGGTGTCATTGTCACTGTTTTAAGACAGTGTAATTATATATTTAACAAGGGTCATTTTGACAAGGACATTTTTCTTTCTTTCTTTTTTTTTTGTGTTCATCAAATAGGTCCATGACCCCACGGCTTTTGTTGCACTTGAACCACGAATACACACCATTTTTTTTTTTTATGGATTCGAGTAACAAATCCTTCCCTCGCAGGTCCATTTGACCCCATTGGAATGACTGGAATGTTAGGAATGCTTCAATACACAGAGAAAAACCTAAAAATGCTCAAAATTTACCAAAAAATTATTTTATAATGTCTACATGTTAGAGATGCGCGGATAGGCTATTCTTTCATCCGCAACCACATCACAAAACTCATCATCCGTCCGCCATCCATACACACCAACATTTTTGACCAATGCTGCTATTGTATGGGGCGCCGTTTGTAAAGCGGCTTACGTTGAAAACAACAGCAACATTTTGTCACATTTAGCTTCAAACAATGTTTAAAAAACTGGTATAAATTTTTGATCAAATCTAGTAATTTAAAGGTAAATAAAATTTAAAAATTCCCCAAAAATTGCATAATAACATAGACAAAATATTATCAAAATGAAATAAAATAAGCTTTCTGGACAAAAAAAAAGAAAAGAAATTTAAGGGCTTCGGGTCATTTTGACCCGCGAGTGAAAGATGTGTTACAGGACGCGAGGGAAGGATGAGGGTGAAGAACTGAGTAATATTAATTTACATGTACTTACTAGTTAGGATTATGATTTGGTTGCATGTAATTATGCATAATTTACTGTTATTACTATATTTGTAGAACAGACACTGTAAAATAAAGTGCTACCGTTCCACTGGTAATATGAACCCGGGTGAAGCGTGGTTACTCTCTGGTTAGGCCGTCATGAAGGAGTTGAGCCATGGCAGGAAGCGGGACACTTTCTGCAGGACGTATCCGCTCCTGCAGTCGGCTCCCGGGGGCCGGCTGATGATGCCGGTGAGGAAGAACACCTCCCGGTACAGTGTGACCACAGGACTGCCGGATCCAAACACACAATCCGCTTTAGACCGAGGCAGCGTACAGGCCATCTTATTGGTGACCTAGAGGCAAAGTACAACTAGTTAGTCATATATACACTAAAACAACTTTAAATGAGCTGGATTCTCGCCGTCACCCCCTTGTACTGTTTATGTCAGTCCTCTGTTACACAGAGGATTTTGGTGTGAGATTATTCCTTCCTTCCCTTTTTGCACTCGGATTGAATGTTTTTTGCTACCTTTTTGTGGATTGCGTGGACTGGACTCCAGGATAAATATCTTTATGGATCTCCTCTGTTGTGTATTGTCTCCCGAGGGGGGGAGTTTGAGTTAGACACACTCATCTAAAGCGCTGCCTAACACTGTTGCTGACAACGTTTTGTTTTTCCCTCTGAATTAAAGAGCCAAAGACTTTTGTGGTGTCATTGCATTCATATTCCTTTGCTCTTGAGTCCAACCTCCTCTAGCATCAAGGACACACACACACACACACACACACACGAGTTTGATCCCCAGCTGGGTAACAACATGTTACTTACAATGGCAGTATATTAATTATAATTCATTGATTCTCCTTTGTTCATTGAATACATTTTAATCTTTAAAATTTTCCTTCCTAAAAAAGTGAAGTGGCACTAAAAAAAAATTATATGTTGGCTTTAATTAACTTTATGTCAACAGGTTCCATAAATTAACCTTTTTATGTCAACAGGTTGCAAATAACTGGGTTACGTTAAACAATTAACTTTTTTGTGTCAACAGGCTGCACATAACTAGGTTACATTAAAGTGTTAAAGTTAATCAGATAATTAAGTGAATAACTGAGTGAAGATTGAGCATTATTGGAGACACCTGATGTTAACAAGCAGAATTACTGAAGGAGAAAACCGGAATTTAAAGACATCATTTTATGGTGATCAGTGTTTGCTTTAGTTGGGCTCTTGACCCTCACACCATTAACTTTAGATTTAGTTCGGCTGCTGTATGTGAGTTAACAGCCAGATGAACAAATAGAAAAGGTGATCTGATGGTGATGGTTGTGTTTTAACATAATCATTATTTCACAATCATTTGACCTGAATCACTGAACTCATATAGGCTAGAACCATATTTCTAAGTTAAGTTCACCTTATGGATTAAAGCAGCACTGTCATTGTTGTATAGAATACAATGTTTAACCTTTTCAATGAAATCCAAATAATCAAATCAATAAAAAAAGAAACTTCTTATAAAAAATAGTTTATGTAGACATTAAGAACATCATACATATAATCAGACTGTGAATCTCAACAATGGTGACAATTATAAAGCATGTTGCAGTGCAATCTGGGTTCAACCAATCAAAATTCATTCATTGCTCCCATCATTCATTGCTGCATGAATAAATAATGAGCTTTTGTTCAGAGGTGATCTGTTTGTCACCATTGCTGAGATTCATACAGTAATTCTTGATGTCTGTCTCTGCATTCAAATGTTTTTTTTAGATGTTTCTTTTTTTATTGATTTTATCATTTGGATTTCATTGAAAAGGCTAAAAATGGTATGTTCTACAATGACAGTGTAGATGTAAGGTCCATAAGGTAAACTTACCTTAGAAATTGGGTTCTATTCGAGTTCAGGTCAAATGATTGTGAAATAATGATTACGTTAAAACACAATCAACACCATCAGATCACCTTTATTATTTGGTCATCTGGCTGTTATAACATAGATACAGAAGCCAAACTAAATCTAAAGTTAATGATTTAAGGGTCAAGCGCCCAACTAAAGCAAACACTGATCACCATAATGGTGACCTAAAATTCTGGTTTTCTCCTTCAGAGAGTCTGCTTGTTCACATTAGGTGTCTTCAATAATCATCACTCAATTATTCACTTAATTATCTCATTAACTTTAACACTGCTTCAGTGTTCATTTAACACTCTGCTCAGAGTTTAATTGGGTTGCTTAAAATGACTTAATTCGTGTGTTGAAGTTACATGAACAAATAATGTTTGTTTAACGTTTAACACAGTTATGCTGTGCTGTATATACACTCAGAAGCTCTTCCGGGTCTGTGGGATTCGTTTAACGGATTCGTTTAAACGTGAATTACTGTCTCTGGGAGGCTTTTGTCTTTCAAACACATTCAAATGCACAAATTCACATCATTTCATTTTTACATGCAATGCAGGGGCTCCCCAATGTTTTATAGTAAAATTAATTTCACTGTGCAGGTAAACAAATAAATATCTATATTTTTAATTTTCTATGGCAAGTATTTTATTTTGTTTGTTTTTATTTGCATTTATTTTTTATGATTTAATTAATAGCTTTTCATTAAACTCACAAACCCCTGTCAGGGATACCCTGACGTAATGTAATATTTAATGCACGTCATGTTGTTGATTACAAAGAATGGAATATTTTTCTTTCTCATTGTATTATTTTTATCAATATTGTACAACATTATCCATAGTTAGGACAAAAGCAATCAAAAAGTAGTCAGATTACCTTAAACGTGTAATGTAATGGATTGCCGTGAATGTACTGAAAGTGAGAGGAAATGAGACACACATTCTCTCTTGCAAGTGTGTCAGTCACGAGAACCAGTTACTTATTAAATGATTAATTACTACCTATTAATTACATCTTCAACTGTGTAATTATGTAACTCTCTCTGGAAAGTATTCACTTTTTCTAATCACTTCTTAAATCCCAAATCATCCTCGACCAGTTGAACAAAACACAGACATGAAACCGCTCTTTTAATTGCTCTGACCAAAGTATTTAAAGGGAGAAAGTTGCATTAACATATGTTTTAACATTAGAAGGTCAATTTGAGTGTTAAATCCACAATAGTTATATTTTTTTGTTAACAATACATACAAACACACATTATTTATTACCACATACACAAACGACATTAAATTATCAGCAAAAGTTTTTTCAAAAGTGAACTAATCCTTTACTCACCCCCATGTCATCCAAGATGTCCATGTCTTTCTTTCCTCAGTCGAAAAGAAATTAAGGTTTTTGATGAAAACATTCCAGGATTTTTCTCCATATAATGGACTTCAATGGGAACCAAACGGTTCAAGGTCCAAACGACAGTTAATAACAGTTTCAGATGCAGCTTCAAATGTCTTTAAACGACACCAGACGATGAATAAGGGTCTTATCATGCGAAACGATCGGTTATTTCAAAACTTATTCCAAAAATTTAACTTTTCTGAGGACAAATGCTAGCCTTGCTCTATTCTGTTTGTATCGTCACGTAATACGTAATTGCATTCAAAAGGTCACGGGCAGACATAGCCGGAAGTACAGAATCAAAATCGTCCGACATCGTTGTTCTGATTCTGTACTGACCCCCCGTGACCTTTTGAACGTAATTACGTGACGTTACAAACGCGCCTCACAGAATAGAGCAAGGCTAGCCTTTGTCCTTAGAAAAATGACATTTTTGGAATAAGTTTTGAAATAACCGATCGTTTCACATGATAAGACACTTATTCATCGTCTGGTGTCGTTTAAAGACATTTGAAGCTGCATCTGAAACTGTTATTAACTGTCTTTTGGACCTTGGACCATCTGGTTCCCATTGAAGTCCATTATATGGAGAAAAATCCTGGAATGTTTTCATCAAAAACCATAATTTCTTTTCGACTGAGGAAAGAAAGACATGGACATCTTGGATGACATGGGGGTGAGTAAATTATCAGCAAAAGTTTTTTCAAAAGTGAACTAATCCTTTAAAAATACTGTCAATAACAAATCAGGGTCCAAAATCAATGAATGTCTAAACAAACAGGTCTAACACTTATAACACACCCAACTAACTGCTATGCATAACCCTAAGTTTACCTGCCTTTTAAAATTTAATTTCTGTGTTATTCTAATGAAAGACAATGGTAGAGAATCCCATGTTTTCATTCTCCTATAAACTACTGTACACTTGAGGAATGAATTTTTTGCTTTGGGAAGTGAAACTCTGCCTTGAGAAAAATGTGTATGCATTTATTACGTTGTATTTATTATTTATTGATCAAATCTAGTAACCATAAAAAATTGCATAATAACATTAACAATATGTTGCAAATAAAATAAGCGTTCTGGACAAAAAAAAAAAAAAAAAAAGAACTATAATTTAAGGGCTCTAAATCGCATTTTAATTGATTGTACCGATCCAATGGGATTTTATACTGTAAAACCTTCCAGTCACCCGGTCTTCTTAACTAATTAAGATGCAGATACATGCTGTTAATATTTGTTCCAAATGGACATTGTAGAGAAAGTCTTGTTGTGTACTAGCTGGAGTTTACTCGAATCGTTTTTGGTGGCATTAGCCCGAATGATCTGGCAATAGTCCAGCTGTGAAAAGACAAGAGTACCTAACACCATTTTCATTACATCCGATGTAAAATGGTCTCTGCATCGCCTTACTACAGCCAACACCTTCCCCATTTAATCGACCGGGTTGTCAATATGTTTTGACCAAGACTATGTATTGTCAAGGGTGATACCTAACAACTAGGTTTCCTTCACTTGCTGAATAAGTGTTTAACTTATGTATAGTCTAAGCTCTGGTTCAAAACCTAAAGAATGCTTTGAACCAAAATACTATACTCTTTGTTACAGATGAATTAAGTATCAGTTTGGTTTCTAAAATCCACTTTCCTATAGTGTCAAACTCCTCTTTCAAGATGGCAGTCAATTCAGAAGATTAGAACGCTTATACTGTAATACCATCTGCATACATTGTTACTTTAGCACTTTTTTAAACGAGAGGCAAATCGTTAGTAAACTCATCCATTATAAACTCTGATTCAACTTCAAATCAGTACTCAAAACCCACCTGTTCAAACTAGCTTTTCCTTAAAATCCACTTTTTGTTTTGTTTTTGTTTTATTCTCCATGTGAAGCGTCTTTGAGTGTCCAGAAAAGTGCTATACAAGTGTGATGCATTATTATTATTACTATTAGTAAAGATTGAGTGGTCCTGAATAGCTTCCATAAAAAAAATACTCTTTGCGATCTATTTACTAATTAACTTTCCATCCAAGCAACTGCTGAAGGTCTTA